CGAACTTCATTCGTGAACTTGCCAGCCTCTTTCCACTTTGGCCAGGAACAATAGGAAACACCGGCCCAGAACTCAATAAAAAGATATATTAGAAAGCTGCTACACGCCAAAAGAAATAAACGTAATGATTTTTAAAGAGAGAACTGTGGTGTGCAGAAATCCACAGACGGGAAGCCTGATGCTAATAAAGATCGGGACGAAAAGCCGAGGAGAAGAGGGGAGAAAGGGGCAAGGGAGGGGGAGAGGGATCAAAGTTCGCTGAGTGCCATGACAACGAAGCATTAAGCGCATAAAAACATGTCAGTCGCGCCGCATCAACAAGGATATTATCAATTTGCTAAAATTACACCTTTAGATGTGTATCTATCGAGGAAAAGAGGGGAGGGAGCTGATCCTCAATTCTGAGGTTAATCCTTTCCAAAAAAGTATTAACGTACATAGGTTAATCCTTGGTGTTCAGAAGGTTAATCCTTTCCCCCCCCTCCCCTTCCCCCCTCTCCCCACGCCCTCTTCACCCCATGCAGAATGTTCCATACACCGCTTTAGTTCAACAATCTTAAACGATGCTACATAATTTTACAATTTCAAAGAAATAAGCACAAAAAAATTAAGATAATCGGAGATTTCCCAATCGTGTCAATTCTCGGCCAAATTTTTCATAAAGTTCGCCACCTTCCTGAAAACACTTGTTCATAAAAAAAACCCCCCTTTAAAAGATTTCTTAGAAGCTAGCTGAAGGCGGCTTGACTTCCTGCTAGTACCAGTTTATCCCTGAAATGAATAAACGAATCATGGAGGGGTTGCTGTAATAGAACGATTGGGGGAGGCAGGGGAGAGGGGGAGAGAGGGAGAGGGCGAGGCAGGGGGCGGGGGGAGGAAATGAAGAAAAGATGAAGACACACGATGAATAAAAACAACTAATCAAGGAGGAAGTAAGATCGGTTACCCGAAAAGCGTCACTGGGTTCTCTCATCGTTAGCGCAATTCGACGTCCACAGATATGCTCATGAAAAACGGCATGTTTCCACGAATAACGAATCTCATCGGCCATGCAAACCATTGTCCTGCAACAAATTTTTTTAAAAAAATAAGCCCTCGTAAGCAAAAACTAATTTTCGTCAAGAAAAATCCAAAAAGCTGACTTATATGCCTAAATCAATTCCCGAGAATTAAATCCAATGGCACGGCCTACGCAATTCTAGTGCAAGAATCCCGCATATCGAGACGGCCTTTTATACATACACTTGATGTAGTTCCGTCAAATTCCTCAGTTTTCACTTATATACCTGAATTTGGGACATATACCTGGATTTACAACATCAAAAAGTACCGCAAAAATTAATAATTTCAAAAAAACACCTTCTTGGTAATGGCACATAAATTAACAATGATTTCTCATCATTTGCAAATGTCAGCACTGAATCGCTCAACAGATTCACGCTGAAATTTTGGAGAATAAACAAAATAAATGCAATTTGAAATCCCCTTCCCCTCTTCCCCCGTCTCCCCCTGTTTCCTGTTTCTGGTGCCTGGAAAAAGCGTCGGCATTATTTTCGACATGATTAATTATATTTTTTCAAAAATCCGTAGTGCGATGGAATAGTGCGATGGAATATTCTAACTGGACGTCCGAACAAAGTTACGTGGATGTTGCCAGCTTAAAAATAAAAAGAATCGTGAAAAGGAATTGTACCGCTGATGAGAAAGAGTCAAAATCAAAAGACAAGACCCCCTCCCGCTCACCACCCCTACCTACCCGGATTCATCCTCTGTAAAAGGCCATGGTTTTCTGTAGTAATACGATTAGTAGCACATGCCAACAGTAATCACTCGCTGGGAAAACTGCCGAATGTACACCTCCCCCTCCACAACAAGGTGATTTTGTTCCATGCTATATTTCTATGGTAACTTACCATCAATGAAGAATTGGATGTCCGCATGGCTGAGTCTAACCTTCGATTTTCGACACAAAACAACTTCAAACCGGTACTATTTACCTTTCCAGCAAAGGATAATTAAAAATTAAGAAAAAAAACCAATTATCTTTGACGCTACAGAAAAAAATTACAGTAGTTATTAAAAAAACAGACGAGATTAAGCGATTTCCCCAAATCCATGTGTCATCGGCATGCATTTCAATTGCGGACCAGCGATCATCGCGATATTCCAAATTACACAGTTCGAATGGCTGGTAGGAGCCAAATAACTCAGATGATATGGACTTCATTCTATTCAAAATTAAATCTGTGTAAGCTGGCATTCCATGAAAACGATCCATTTTCACTTTTTTGCGCTTGAAATTAACACGAGGTCCATAATCCTGGAATTTGAAGGAGGAAAAAAAATTACCTGAATGCTACATCAGAAAACGAATATGTAGAAAATGAAATGACCGTGAAGCAAATAAAGTACAGGAATACAAATAAAGATATTAATGATGACATATATATGAAAAATATAAAAAAATATTAAAAAATAATCGGAAGAAAAATAATCAGAAAAATAATCAGAGCGTTTCAATTTTTGCCTCTCAAAGAACACAAATTCGACTTTGGCCGAACGACTGGGGAAAACGAGAAGCTAGTTAGATCCACAGGCCTATTTCTCAGAAGCCGATTTCTTGCTGTAAATATCGCCTGGATTTTACCTGCTTCCGACGTCCAGATTGTGAAAGAATCCAATCAGTTTGATCGATTGCGCGCACCAAATCTTCCTCTTCTTTTTCGTCCAAAAAATCCGGAACAACGTGAAGACCGGGAACGACAAGAGTATCCTGAAATTCAAAAAAATAAGGAAATAACAAAACGGATTTCTATTAATGAAATATGAATTACCCGAGTGATATGATCAGTTGTATTCAGTCGATTGGCTATACTATGGATATCGTTGAGCTGTGGACGTTCGGGAAGTGAGCAATCACATGATGCCAATTGGTGACGCGTTGAAAACACATACTTCTGGTATGTTGCATATGGGTCTTCCTCGAATAGTAATTTTGCAACTCTAAAATAAAAATAAAAAAAAAAAAACAAAAAATAACTTTGTCCTAACAATGTGGTACTTGATTTAGACTTCTTATTTATACATTCTGTTCGATCAATAACAAAAAATCTTAACATTTAACCCCCTGTCTATCATCTTTCGCTGTTCTCTCTTCTGCTTTCGTCACTGATTCGCATACGTGAGTCTGCTAACTACGTGAATAATCCAGTTTCACTAAAGGCCGCATTTTCA